GAGGACAAATATATATTTTTATTAAAATTGAATTAGAATAAAATAATCACGAATTTTATTATTTTCAGGAATAGAAAATTACGAAAAAATCGCCTTTGCCGTTCTATGAGTTATCCATTTCAACGCGGAAAAGTGCCTCGTGTGTACAAGTTGAATATTCATCGGAGCTACTCCATGATTTATGGTAGTCAAGTGGAAAATACATTCAACTACATCAGCATCCGTCCTGTGATTGCTCATTTTTTACACGAAAGGTATGTTAATTTTTATATTTAAATCTTTTGTAATATGGTTTTAGATATTATTTTTGAAAAGTCATTCTTTTTTTGTTTTTATAGCGAGGAATTATCCGATAGGAATAATTGGCTCACTCGACCTATTTGGACTCAGTTGAAAGTAAAACCGTATGGGACCGATAGAAAAAATAAAAAAACTTCCCATTTAATTAATGTAAAAGAAAAAGGAAAAGTTGAATTTTATTCTTCTTCGCAAGCGTTCGAGGTATGAAAAATAAAAATAAATTTCTTCAACATCGCATCAATTATAAATTCCCATTCGACAGAAGAACAAGAATTGTTTTCATTCCGTCTTTCTTCTCTTTTTGATGGTATGTGGTGTCCCCATTCAAAGTACTAACCACGCTCTATGCTTCTCGACTCCGATGATCGGACGAGAACCGGAGCATGCGGGGAGACTGCACGACCGTTGACTTTTTATATTTATTATTTTTATTTTACATTATTTATTAGTTTTTATTATGATTTCGTAACACAGAAAACAAGGATGGGCATCGTTCAATTTTTTTTTGTCATTCAAACGAGTGCGTTAAATTTTCAAAGGTTTTCCGCCTTTTTTGATATAAATTGACTTTAGAAGCATTACATGAACGGTGAAAAAAGATTTAAAAATTTATTGGTTTTTTTTTTTTTTTTACAGCCAACGTTTACTGATAATTTTTTTCATTCGGATGACGTAGAAGAAAAAACAAGGAAATTAAATGAAATCGAAAACGATGCATCCCTTCATTTCTATATTCGAAATAGAACGTTCGTAATAAAAGAATTAATAAAAAATGAAAGAGATTTTGTTCAAATTTTAACGGACATCGCAGAAGGGTACATTAACGAATGCAAAAAAAGGACCGATTTGTTTTCAAAGGAAATGATAAATTCCATATTTGGTAACTTGGAAGATTTGTTAATATTTCAAAAAAAATTTATGATTAATGTCGAAGAAAACGTGAATCCGTTATTTCCTCACAAGAGTTGTTTAGGCAAAATTTTTCTGGACCACGTGAGTAATTAAGTCATTCATAAAAATTTTTAAAAAATTATATTGATGTGTGAGATAGTATCGGGAAACACTTTTAAAAAAAAAAAAAAATTATTTTAATGCCAAAAAGTTATTATTATTATTTTTTTTTAAATTATCAAAAAACCATCATCATGGGTTGTGTTCGTAATAATTTTTAATCGATGAAAAATTTCGTTTTAAAAAAAAAAAAAGAAAATAAACTGCCATTCACGTGTATTATTATATTTATTAATGTAATTAATTATAATTATTGTGAAATTAAATTTTATTTTTTTTTTTTAGGAGAGAAATTTTAAAATGTATGCCTTATATTGTGTTTCATATCCGACGGCTATTATTATTCTGCAATCCCTTTACTCAAGGGATGTCTATACCAAGTTTTTTGAAGCTTGCAGACTGAAACGTGGATTAAATAATATTTCACTTGATGGGTACCTTTTGACACCGATTCAAAGAATATGTAAATATCCATTGCAGCTCGCGGAACTTTTAAAATGGACAGAACCCAGTCATCCAGATCACAATGTGGTAAAAGAAGCCTTGCAAGCCATGAAAAAAGTTGCAACTTTAATTGACGATCAAAGAAAAACAATGGATGATTTAGAGAAACTCGTCGTTTGGCAAAGTAAAATTTTTGACTGGAAAGAAGAAGAAGAAGATGTAATAATAAAAAGTTGTCAGATGCTCTACCGGGGAGAAGGAACTCGAATAATATCTAAAAAAAAAAACACAAACGTCACAATGTTTTTGTTCGATCACCAGTTAATTTTTTGCAAGAAAAAAAATTTTTTCAATAAAAATTATTATACGTACAAAGGTAAAATATTAAAAAAAAAAAAAAAAATTTTATTTTAGTATAGTTTAGTTTGAATAAGTAATATTATTAAACGTAAAAATACATTTTAATGTCGTAAATAATTAATATTATAAAAATTTAGGTAGAATAAATTTGGATTTTTCAAAAATAATAAATTTACCCGATGGTCCGAACCGAGAGGTAGAAATGCTTATTAAGAACGGAATAAAAATTTATGTTGCCAAAGAAAATAAATGGGAAATAATATGCTATGAGTCTAAAGTTGAGAAAAACAAATGGATAAAGGCATTTATTGATGAGAGAAAAATTGTCGAGAAAATGAAAAGAGAAGGTTTAGAATTGCCGGTGTCAATTAAAAAACTCGCAAAAGTCGCTGTAGAAACTAAAAACATGTATTTGAAATCAAAAGGTAAGAATTTTTCCTTTTTTTTTTTTTTTTTTTTTAATTTCAATTTTATGCTTATTATCATTAATTTTTTTGGTTTTTTTTTTTTCACTTTTTAGTTTAAAGTTATCATATGAAAAATTATTGACGTGTCTGGTACGTAAGACGAAAAGCAAAACACGTAAGCAGCATCATTAGAACAAAAATTTTTATAATTTTGTGAAATATTTGTACAAAAATTTAAAATATATAAGAAAAAATTAATTAAATGAAACTTACGACCAACTCTTTTTTTTTTTTTTTTAAATATTTAATTAATTTTTTTTTTTTTTGTTATCTTTAATTTTAGTTTTGTTTTTATTTTATTTTGTTTTCCTTTAGTCCTTCTTATCTATATAGGGTGATTATAAGTATTTATTTTTTTTTATTTTTTTATTTTTATTTTTTATTTTTAATTTTAATTTTAATTTTTTTGTTTTTTTTTGATGACCTAGTAGAAATGTATTTAGCTGAATGGAGTACTACTGTAATACAACTACTTGGAGGCTACGCATGTAGGATGCTTTAAGAGCGGGGATTCTGGGATTGGATTTTCAACGGTGACTAAACGTCTGCTAGGGGTACATCTTCAACTTGAATGCCTTGAAGGAGCCCGAGGTTACCAAATGGAGTCTGAAAAGGGGAATAATCGTCTCCAAATGTCACCGAGTGGAGAGTCGTGGGTTCAAATCCTGCGAGTGGGAGTTTGATTTCAGCTCATAGAAACAAGAACATAAGTGAGATTCAGAGCTTTTCGGAGGCATTGGGAATGCGCCGACCGTAGTTCGAGAAAATGAAACCTGATCCAAATAAGAAAAATGAGGAGCTACGATGTGAAATGAAAATAGATGATAGATTAATGGAATTCGCGACCGAAGACATCTTTCTCTCTCTCTGGAAGAAGGAGGAACGATGGTAACATATCGAGATCGACGGTAGAAAAAATAAATAGAGGAATTATTGGGATCTTCATCGGACCGTGACCTGATGGTTCTGGCTCAAGAGGGAATTGGGACTGAAATGAGGGTCGAATACCGGCGAACGTTCTTTCATCCAGGAATTTTAGTTGGATAGTGGCTTCAGCTGAGTTCCACACCCTCTCTGCTTCAAAGGGGAAAGCCTAATGCAAAAAAAGAAGACCCGAACATGTACGGCCCCGAACTGAAAAAAATCCCCGAATTGCACGGGCCCCAAATTGAAAAAAAAAAAAAAATACCCGAAATAAAACGACACGAGTGAAAAACAGGACCGTAAATAGGTTTTTTTTAATATTAGTATTATTATTATTTTTTTTTTTTTACCCGGACTTGCACGACCCCAAAATAAAAAAATACCCGAATTCCACGGACCCCGAATTAAAAAAAATACCCAAAATAAACGGACACGAGACAAAATTGCCCGTAGTATTCTTTTTTTCCTCTCGGTGCACTTGTGCCCCTATTGCACTAATAGAATCTCGACGCACGTAGAATTTTTACATATGCGCGCTCGGTCTCGGTCTCGCGCTCGATCCCCGGACTTTTTTTTTCTCCGTGTTCGTTCCCTCGGTGCAATTGTGCCCCTATTGCACTAATCGAATCTCGACGCACGTAGAATTTTTACTTATGCGCGCTCGGTCTCGGTCTTGCGCTCGATCCCCGGACTTTTTTTTTCTTCGTGTTCGTTCCCTCGGTGCAATTGTGCCCCTATTGCACTAATCGAATCTCGACGCACGTAGAATTTTTACCGTACGGTCTCGGTCTCGCGCTCGATCCCCGGACTTTTTTTTTCTTCGTGTTCGTTCCCTCGGTGCAATTGTGCCCCTATTGCACTAATCGAATCTCGACGCACGTCGAGTTTTTACCGTACGGTCTCGGTCTCGCTCTCGCGCTCGATCCCCGGACTTTTTTTTCTTCGTGTTCGTTCCCTCGGTGCAATTGTGCCCCTGTTGCACTAATCGAATCTCGACGCACGTAGAATTTTTACTTATGCGCGCTCGGTCTCGGTCTCGCGCTCGATCCCCGGACTTTTTTTTCTTCGTGTTCGTTCCCTCGGTGCAATTGTGCCCCTATTGCACTAATCGAATCTCGACGCACGTAGAATTTTTACCGAACGGTCTCGGTCTCGGTCTCGCGCTCGATCCCCGGACTTTTTTTTTCTTCGTGTTCGTTCCCTCGGTGCAATTGTGCCCCTATTGCACTAATCGAATCTCGACGCACGTCGAGTTTTTACCGTACGGTCTCGGTCTCGCTCTCGCGCTCGATCCCCGGACTTTTTTTTCTTCGTGTTCGTTCCCTCGGTGCAATTGTGCCCCTGTTGCACTAATCGAATCTCGACGCACGTAGAATTTTTACTTATGCGCGCTCGGTCTCGGTCTCGCGCTCGATCCCCGGACTTTTTTTTTCTCCGTGTTCGTTCCCTCGGTGCAATTGTGCCCCTATTGCACTAATCGAATCTCGACGCACGTAGAATTTTTACTTATGCGCGCTCGGTCTCGGTCTTGCGCTCGATCCCCGGACTTTTTTTTTCTTCGTGTTCGTTCCCTCGGTGCAATTGTGCCCCTATTGCACTAATCGAATCTCGACGCACGTAGAATTTTTACCGTACGGTCTCGGTCTCGCGCTCGATCCCCGGACTTTTTTTTTCTTCGTGTTCGTTCCCTCGGTGCAATTGTGCCCCTATTGCACTAATCGAATCTCGACGCACGTCGAGTTTTTACCGTACGGTCTCGGTCTCGCTCTCGCGCTCGATCCCCGGACTTTTTTTTCTTCGTGTTCGTTCCCTCGGTGCAATTGTGCCCCTGTTGCACTAATCGAATCTCGACGCACGTAGAATTTTTACTTATGCGCGCTCGGTCTCGGTCTCGCGCTCGATCCCCGGACTTTTTTTTCTTCGTGTTCGTTCCCTCGGTGCAATTGTGCCCCTATTGCACTAATCGAATCTCGACGCACGTAGAATTTTTACCGTACGGTCTCGGTCTCGGTCTCGCGCTCGATCCCCGGACTTTTTTTTTCTTCGTGTTCGTTCCCTCGGTGCAATTGTGCCCCTATTGCACTAATCGAATCTCGACGCACGTCGAATTTTTACCGTATGCGCGCTCGGTCTCGCTCTCGCGCTCGATCCCCGGACTTTTTTTTCTTCGTGTTCGTTCCCTCGGTGCAATTGTGCCCCTATTGCACTAATCGAATCTCGACGCACGTAGAATTTTTACTTATGCGCGCTCGGTCTCGGTCTCGCGCTCGATCCCCGGACTTTTTTTTCTTCGTGTTCGTTCCCTCGGTGCAATTGTGCCCTTATTGCTCGTCTTGCGTGCGTGCGTCGTTTGATCGGTACACCCCTGTTTCTCCTCCCCCTTATTCGAATAAGAGGCATTCCGTAAAAACAAGGTATTTTACTAAAAAAAAAAAAAAAATCAAGCAAAATAAATAAATAAATAAATGAATAAATAAGGACACGATGCAAAGAAACATGAAATATCATTAAAAATTAATAACAATATTAATAATAATGATAATATTTAAAATAGAAAAAAAAAAAAAATCACTTCCGTTCTTTCAATTCCAATCCTTTTTCATTTCCGCTTTCATTTTCAAAATCAAATTTTGAAGTCGGAAACGGAATCGGAATCCAAAAACAAAATCGAAGTCAAAATCCTAATGCAAAATTAAAATCGAAATTTAAAATCGGAATTCGAATCCGAATCCAAAATCAAAACCGAAATCAATAATTAAAATCGAAATCAAAATCGGAATTTAAAATCGGAATCCGAAATTAAAATCGAAATCAAAATCAAAACCGAAATTAAAATCGAAATCGTAATCGAAATCGATATCGAAATCGGAATCGAAAACGATATTTAAAATCGGATTCCGAATCCAAAATCAAAACCGAAATCAAAAATTAAAATCGAAATCGGAATCGAAAACGATATTTAAAATCGGAATCCGAATGCAAAATCAAAACCTAAATCAAAAATCAAAACCGAAATCAAAAATTAAAATCGAAATCAAAGTCAAAACCAAAATCAAAAATTAAAATCGAAATCGAAACCGGAATCGAAATCGATATTTAAAATCGGAATCCAAAATCAAAACCGAAATCAAAAATTAAAATCGGAATCGAAAACGATATTTAAAATCGGAATCAAAAATAGAAATCGAAATTTAAAATCGGAATCCGAATCCAAAATCAAAATCGAAATCGAAATTTAAAATCAGAATCCGAATCCAAAATCAAAACCGAAATCAAAAATTAAAATCGAAATCAAAATCAAAACCGAAATCAAAAATTAAAATCGGAATCGAAATCGATATTTAAAATCGGAATCCAAAATCGAAATTAAAATCCTAATGCAAAATTAAAATCAAAATCGAAATTTAAAATCGGAATAGAAATCGAAATTAAAATCCTAATGCAAAATTAAAATCAAAATCGAAATTTAAAATCGGAATAGAAATCGAAATCGAAATTTAAAATCGGAATCCGAATCCGAAATCAAAATCGAAATTTAAAATCGGAATCGGAATCCAAAATCAAAATCGAAATCAAAATCGAAATCGAAATTTAAAATCGGAATCCGAATCCAAAATCAAAACCGAAATCAAAAATTAAAATCGAAACCGGAATCGAAATCGATATTTAAAATCGGAATCCAAAATCCGAATCCAAAATCAAAAATCCAAAAAACAAAAAAATTTGAAATCGAAATCCAAAACCAAAACCAAATTAACAATTAATTAAAAATTAAATTTAAAAAAAATTTTTTTTTTTTTTCGTTGAATTCAATTTAATCGAATCCGATAACACTAAACTAAATGACGAAACATTCGTTCGATCACATTCGTCCAATTACATTCGTCCGCATTCGATTTCTCATTCGTTTGATTCGATTAATCTTCAGTTCAATTTTTTTTTTCCCCGGTTTCGGTTGTGTTTTTAAGTTTGGTTTTTTTTTCGGTTTTTTTTTTTTTTTTTTTCCCGGTTTCGGTTTTAAATTTGGTTATTTTTTTTTTCCTTTTTTTTCCCCCGGTTTCGGTTTTAAGTTTGGTTTTTTTTTTTTTTGGATTGGTTTTTTTTTTCCGGTTTCGGTTTTGTTTTTAAGTTTGG